GGCGTGTTCCACTGCCCGGCCCCTTTAAGCTAAGAGAGTGAGAACCCTTCTAGGCAGAGCCTAGGTAGGGAAAAACCACATCGAGTGGGGCTTCACCGCCGGCCTCCTCCACGGAGCCCGAGATGCCGCGCAGGAGCTCCTGCGAGGCGATGACGGCGCGCTCGTCAGCAACTCTGGGGCACTCCCAGAGCCAGTGAAAAAGCGCGCCCCCCCTGGGCCTGGCAGAGGTGGCGGGCGCCCGCGACGACGCGGCCCGCCTCGCGTGTCCCAGCCAGGGGCCAGATACCTTGACAGGCCAATCAACGGATCATGCCCGTCTGGCGAGCAGTGAAATGTTTTGGCCGAGTGGCCGTAGTAACAGCGTCGAAACACAACCTCGAACGACCAATGCTGCCGCGCATGGCGGCCAGCTCTCGCTCGAGACTCCTCAAACCCCTTCCCTGAGTAGGACCTTGGGGAGAGCGGGGGGGGGGGGGGGGGGCGAGGTAGTGGTGGGCCCCCAAGTCACTGACATGCATCAGAGGGGTCGGCATAGACCACCCAATCCTGAGAAGTGACAGCCCGTGGGCCCATGGGCGAGGTTGACTGGAACGCCGGAGGTTCCTGAGGTCGGTCCAGGAGACATAACAAACGGTCGCGCGAGCGTGCCCGGCCCAAACCTCCTTATATCACCTAATGCGAGACCGCCCCAAACCAGGCCGGGCCCCCCTCGATCCTGGACAAGATGGTACGGCTAGCTCCCACGACCGCAGGTTTCATCGTGGCCGCGCGCAGCCTCCGAATCGTCAAACAGTTCGCCGTCGCTGCATCCGTGGACCTGACTGCCGTAGGTGATTCCTGGCAAGGGTCCCGCAATGCAGAGTTGAATGGCCCTGCGCCCCAGAACAGCACGCTCGCGGGCCAGGCGGCCGGCGCGGCGCTTCGCCCTGACCAGCCTCGTCTTAGCGCGGGCATTGCGCCCGCGCGCGCGCGGGGCACCGCCTGCCGCGTCGTGGATCCTAAGGTTGATGGCCAACGCAGCGTGAGCTCATGCAGCGGGCCCTAGTCGTTTCTGGATGCGTCTGGAAATCTTTTTCGACGAAGAGATCAACCCAACCTCGTCGAGGGAAATGTTTGGAGGGTGAAAGTGGGGGTCGGGCGCAGGGTCCCGGCAATGATGTTTTTTAGGCCATGAGTGGGCGATGCATCCTCGATTGCTGTGTTCGGCGGGGGAACTAATTGAAGCCCCCCGCCTGCACCCGCGCGCGAGACTTCAGGGGGGAGGAAGCAAGGGGGCGGGGGGCTCGGGAAAGGCGACGAAGGCAACGTGCGCTAAGGGCGCAAAAAGAAAAGGCTGGAACACGCGAAAGCGGTCAGGTGAGTGTCGAAATCTGCCAGCCAATCTGACATGCGGAACAGTGCGCCTCAGTTTTGGGGATCTTGAAGGCCAGGGCAAGATGTGAATTCACATTGTGGGGATAAGCAAAATGTGAATTCACATTTTGGGAAAAAGGAATATGTGAATTCACATATTGGGAAAAAGGAAAATGTGAATTCACAGTTTGGAATTTTGTGTAGGATTCTTTATGAAGGGGCCAGAATGTGAATTCACATTTTGGGAAAAAAGGAAAGTGTGAATTCACACTGTGGGAAAAAAGGAAAATGTGAATTCACATTTTGGGAGAATCGCGGGGCCCATTCCAAATCTGTCTTGGGGGTCGAGAAGTCATCGTTTGGGAACATACGCGATCATCAACCGCACAATCAAGACACACTTGCACTCCACTTCGCCGACCCACACGCAATATGCAAGAACGCCCGCACGCATGAACGACAATGGATGGACGGCGCGTGTGCCCGCGCGGGCAACGCGCGGGCACGAATGACTGGCCATCAATGACCGCCAGCATTGGATGCCAGTCGTGCCCGATCACATACATGAGCGATACATTGAGCATACATGGGCCATTCAGCCCCCATTGAAGACCCCCTGTTGCAGACCCCCTCTTTCACCCTCCAAAATGTCGGCATGGAGCATGTCCGAGAGAACCTTTCTGCAGCGTGGCGGCCGGTCGCGGCAAATCGAGAGGACCGACCCAGTCGCATTAAGCCCCATGTCGTCGATGTAGGCATCAGAGGAAACACCCCTGGGGATGACTCAAGGGTTGAAACCGTCCAGGGCAAACGCCCTAATTAAGCTCGTCGCGAAACTACGCCCGGCTATGATGCCCGCTCGGGCATGCATGGGGCTGGCCACGACCCCCCCGGGCACCGCGAACCTAGCGGCCCTGTGCCCGGCCGGAGAGACGGAGGCGATGGGGGCAGGGAACCACTGTTGGCGGCGCCTCGGGGCTAAGGCTGCAAGGGGGATGCGCTCATAAAACCTAATGAAGTCCCAGAGCAGGGTGCAAGCGCGGTGCGATTGACTGCGGGCTCTCCCCGAGCGGGCAGCCTGCCTCCAAACCGCGTCGCTGGCCGACTTGTATTAGCCAGCCGCCCGACAGGCGCTCGCTGGTTGGCGGTCTCCCACTGCGCCGCAAAACCGTGGCGGCGCATGCCCCAGAGGCGGTGCAAACTAGGGGGGGCACCTATCGGGCGGAAGCCCGTCGAGGCTCGGGTATCATCGCACTGGCGACAGCGCGAAAATGAGCAGGCTACGTCCCCGCCGTTTCCACAAGAGAGAAAAACCTCGAAAGGGCCGATAGGGCCCCGTCCGGCAGGAGCGCGAAGTGGTGCAAGTGGAAGCCGTCCAGCCCAACCGCCGACCAATGGGCGAACGGCCCTCCAAAACCTGCGAATCTCCTCGATGGGTATGGGGAGAGAGGGTCATTCACGATCCCGGGTATGGGGGGAGAGGGTCATTCACGATCCCAGCTAGCTTGCGAAGCACTTCCAGTGTCTCCCACCGGCCTCGGACGCGGCGGGCCTCGTCGGTCAGGAGGGGCTGCGGGTCGGACGCCACGCGGTCCGCGGAACTGCTCGAGCGTCGCGCTAGCCGGCCAGGCCTGCGGGTCCTTCGTGAAGGAAAGGGCTCCCCTCTCTCCTTGACCCGCCGCCTCGGCGTGCCGGTCCGCCCAGTTCTTTGCGGGCGTGCGCAGCGCAACAAGCCGCGCGCTCGTCGGCCGACTCGGCAACCAACTCCGCGAGATGATCGGCCCGATCCTGCACCGTGCTACCTGAAAGACTTCCCCCGATGCCATCCGACGCCAACATGGCAACTTTGTCCTGGGGGCTCCGGAACCCAAGGAAAGCAGCCGGGATGGGGCCATCGTCGTCGGGCCCAGCGCCAGGCGTGGACTTGCGCGCGCTCGGGGGGGGGGGGGGGGGCGGGCGCTCGGGCCGCGCCTCGAGCCGGGTGCCCGTCCGCGCGCCGAACGGCCGCGTTGAAACGTTTTCAAATTACGAATGCTCGCAGGCCGCCGGCAGGCGTGGAGCTGGGGGTTCTTGACGCGACCTTTGTCCTTCCCCAGGATCGGCCTCCAGTGGGTGACGGGCCACTTGCCCCGCGACTCCCAGACAGGCCGCTCGGCCCCGAAGGTCCTCGCCTGCCCCCGCTCCGCCGCGCCAGCCCAGGAGGCGCGCGCGTCGCTACAGCTTGGAAGTCATGGCCACGTCGTCTCCACGACGGGCCCTGGTCAGCGCGGCGTCCAGCTGCGCTTCCAAACGTTCGTGACAAAGGGGCGACGGCTGTGGTCTGAACGGAGGCGCCGAGGGTGTCGACTGCTGCTTCCTGAAGGTAAGGTAATGCAGGTTGGCCATCCCAGCGTGGAACGTCAAGCGAACAGGAAGGCGAAAGAAAACCAGCGTCCTCTTCGATGGCAATCCTACTGGCGGCCTTCGACATTCCCGACGACAGGGCGAAATCGTCGTACTCTTTCCCAGCTCCAATGCGACGCGCGGGCCCCCCCGCGCAGATGGCCCGGCCGATGGGCTAGCCAACGAAGCGCGACTCCGCGAGGGCGGGTGGTTCCATGTTCCAGTCTCCTCCGACCAGAAAAGGCTTGCCGCGCGTGGGCCCCAGCGCCCCGGTAGCCGACGGAGTTTCACGATTCGCTTCCGAGAGCCCCTCAGAATCCGTGAAGCGCGCCGAGCAGAACAGAGACGCGTCGCCCTGCAGGGCGCGAACTTCGGCGGCGATGGCCCTGTAGGCCACAACGACCAAGCCAAATTCGGGCGGGTGAAGCCCCGGGGTTCGCCCGCGAAGAATCGACGACCCAGCCGACGGGCCACCTCCCGGGCCTGCAGTCGCCGGGGCCCACGAGCTCTCAACCGAGGTTCAAGCAGGAAGCGGGCGCGCGGTCCAGGGGCCCCCGAGAAACCGGCATATGTTCCTGGACCAAAATGAACCTGGCGTTCGAGCTTGGAACCCCGTCCTTCACCGAACCCAAGGAGTTGCCGTTGACGGAGACGACGCTCAGGCGGAGCGATTCGGCGTCTGGGGAGGGTGGAAAGGCCATGGGGCCTTTCGGCGGACTCTGACCATCTAAACATTTGGAGCGGCCATTGACCTGCCCAGCGCGCGAGAGGGCTGTGGCGAGGTGGCTGCCAAGGCGCTCTGAGAAAGCCTCGGCTCGCGGCGCGCTGAAAACAAAACTTCCGAGACAGAGCCGGGCGCAGCGGGGGGGGGGCGCGAGCCCGACCTCCGCGCGGTGTCTGGCGGGGCGCTGCAACGAAAAAACGCGTGTGCTGGGGGCCCTCAGACCTCAACAGACCCCGTCGATGCGAGCCCCCCCCCCCCTGAGCTCAGGGGCCGCCCGGGGGGGCAGCCAGTGTCGCCAGCTCCCCTGCTTTGGTGTGGGCCCGATGAGCGATGCTTTCAACTTCAGCACGAACACGATCTGCTGTCGCGGCGCCAGGTGGGGAGGCGGCCCCCTCGACGGGCGCGTCGACGGCGCCGCTGGGCAGGTCCGACGCAGCGGCCCCTTCGCCACCTCCCGAAGCGCCGCCTGGAAGGTCTCCATCTGGACCATGGCGGCATTGTCTGCGATCCTCTTGAGGCGCTACTGGCGCTCCTTCTTGACCGCCACCGCGCGGGCCACGACGCTCTCGAAGAGCTGCTTGGCCGCGTTGGCGATGAGATCCTCGAGCTGGGGGCGAAGCATCTCCATCTCCTCGATGTCCGCCTGCTCCAGCTCGGCGTCGCCTGGGAGGTCGCATAAGAGGCCGCCGTCGTCGATGGTGCCGTACGCAACCTTGCCCGCCACGAGGCTTCGAAGAGGAAGCGCAGGGCCTGGCGCCGCGGCTGCAAGAGCGGGCTGCTCCAAAGAGCAACCTCACTATGCAGTCTGGCGACCAGGATGTGGTGCTGCTCGATCCGGGCTTTGGGCCTGTCGAACAGATCGCGCAAGAAAATATCATGCTTGCGAACCCTTTCCGCCCACCGGTTGTACATGGCCAGGTCCGATTCCATATTGCCGTCAAACTTCGTGATCTCCCGATGAAGGTCCAACACTTGATCTTGAAGAGGGTTCGGGGCTGGCTTGGGCTTCGCCGCGAGGGCGTCGATCTTGTACTGGTACTTGCCCGCGGTCTCGTCGTCCCCGTCGCGCTTGGCAAAAGGGGGCCAGCATCTGCAGCTCGGTAGACCCGAGTGGGCCTGACGCGCCCCCACCCGCAGCACCAGCGCCTCCACGGGCACCGCCGCCGAGGGGAAGGGGAACTGCAGAGAGAGCTGGCCACGTGCCAGGCGCGACGGGGCCTGGCGCCACGGAGCAGGAGGGTGAGCAGGAGCAGGGGTTTGCCGCTGAACGCCGCAATGCTTACAGTAGGTTGCCATGATCGACGTGACGTCTTGCCACACCCACAATCAACATGAATCCAACGCTCTTGCAAACCACCGTTTGAACTGCATCCGCCGTCGCCGCCGCCGTGCTGCGCCAGGTGCCAGGGCGGGGGTCGGCTGCCGCGCCAGAAGGAGTCCACTTGGTCATTCCCACCGCCGCCGTTGCCACCATGGCGCCGCATGGGAGACTGGATAGGTTCCGATCGAATTGGCCCGCTGACACCACATGCCGTGTCGAATCGAATGCCAACAACGGTATAGGAACGCAAAACGGCTGGAGGAGGAGGAGGAGGAGGAGGGGGAGAAGGAAGAGGAGTAGGAGGAATAGGACAAGAGAGGAAAAGAGAGAGGAGGAGGGGTAGGAAGAGGAGGAAAAGGAGGAGGAGGAGCAGGAGGAGGAAGAGGAGGAAGAAGAGGAGGAGGAGGAGGAGGAGGAGGAGGAACATGAGGACGACGGCGAGGATGAGGACGCGGACGCGGAGGAGGAGGAGGAGGAGGAGGAGGAGGAGGAGGAGGACGAGGAGGAGGAGGAGGACGAGGAGGAGGAGGAGGAGGAGGAGGAGGACGAGGAGGAGGCGAAGAAGAGGCCGCGCGCGGAACGACTACCGCGGAGGAAACCGGGCGGCGCCTGCTCGACTGGGGCTGGAGGCGCCAGGCAGGCTAGCTGCACCGCGGGGCGCGGGCTGCGGCGCGGGCGGGGCGCCGGCGGCGCCGCGCGAGCGGGCAGGGGGCGCGGAGGGCGCGACGGCGGCGGTCCAGCCTCGGGGGCTACGTGGTCGCCGTGGTCCCCGTGGAGTGAAACGGATTCTACAGGCCCTGGCCGGCAGACCCCTCCCCCTCGGGAGTGGCCGCTGTCGTAGACAGCTGGCCACCCATGGGGGAGCTGCCCTCTCTGCCGGGCGGCGGAAGTGTGAGCCCGCTCTCATTCAAAGTGCACCCAACGCGCGGCAGACACGCGACCGCCGAGGAGGAGGAGGAGGAGGAGGAGGAGGAGGAGGAGGAAGAGGAGGAGGAGGAAGATGAGGAGGAGGAGGCGGAGGAGGAGGAGGAGAGACGAGCAAACGAACGCTGCCCCTGACTTCCTGTCGGGCCAGGTGCTCCAGAAACCGTTCTCGCACTGTTGCCGGCTGCCTGCCCCGAGGGCGGCGGCCGCAGCCGCGTGCGTAGTGGTGGTCGTGGTCGCGCTGGTGCCGTTAGGGCAGTAGGTGGCGCTGCTGTACGGCGGCGCGCAGGCGAGGGCCCCGACGAGGCGGCGGAGGAAGATCGAGGATCGAGGGTGAAGAGCCCAGAGATCCGATGTCGTGATTTTTTTCATACAGGGGTCCCCGGAAGTCTCGACCCATTCCCCAGGATTGGTTTTTCCTCCTGAGTCGTTTTTTGACGGTCCCGAGGCCCGGCGAGGGCCCCTGGGGGCCAACACTTGCGAAAACCTCCGTCTTGTTTTTTTCAATACTTGGGATCTCTGGGAGGACGCCTCCCGTGCCCGCCGCGGGCGTGCCCAAAACAGAAGGCGAGGCTCTGGAGCGCGCGATCCTCGGTCCTCGATGTTCCTCCACCTCCTCCGCGATCCTCCTCGACCCTCGTCCTTCTCCCAAAATCCCCTCGCGTCGTGACAACAATCATGGCGGGGGATTTCTTGGCTGTACCGTCGAACAGATACTCGACCAGGATGAAAAGCTGGTCCCAGGGAAGGGTTCGAGACCTCCGGGGGTCGAAGTTGTGAACAGAATGATGACGTCGGGGGTGTTGGGGCGCGAGGGATCGAACTCAAATCCTCGAAAGACCATCAAACATGGACCCATAAACTAGAATCCGCCCCTGGGGAAGCGGTAGGGCCTTCTGGGGCCGCACACGGAGCAAATCGTACCGGCGGATGCCCGGTGCAGGGGCTGGGACGAGGGATCCGATGGCGAGGGTCGGGAAGGTGCCCTTCCCCGAGGTCCTGGCGCCGCATGCTCTTTGGGCCGCGGCGGGCGAGCGTCGGCCGGGCCCGAAGAGTGCAGCGAAAGAGAGGGGGTCCAGGGCCCCAGACCCCCGACGCCGTGGTCTTTCCGCGGCGGGGCCCTCCCTGGTCGGGCCCCCTTCCCGGGGAAGGGCGTCTCATCGCATCGCACCGCCGGCGGCCCGAAAGCTGTCGGAGGTAGCACGGGGCGCCTTCGCGCCTCGTGGCAAGCATCTGGACGCCTGCAGTTGAAAGCTGTGGCCGAACAAAATAGATGTCATCATGGTAAGACCCACGAGTTTACGCTAAGGCCGAGGGGCTCTGCCGAACGGCTTTTCATTCTGAGTCGTCTTCTGACGGCCCTGGGGCCTGGTCGGGGCTCCCAACGGCCGAACCTTTGAGAAAAACTCCTGTCATGATTTTTCGGCGTCTCGAAAGGGACTGGGGTTCCAGCCGAGGTTTCTGTCATGCTGTAACTTTTCGATGCGTCGGATCCGAAGGTTGGGCGTGCTTTGGGACTCCAGGGTTACTCTCGTGGCCGCGGCTGGACGCACCCTGAGATCCGACGTCGCGAACAAATTATATCGCAACAAAAACAAACCCGACTGGAGCCCCAAACGCCACCATTCTGCAACATCTTTCGAAGCGCATCGATCCGTGAATGTCCGAGGGGGCGAAACATGGCATCATCGCCCATTGTGAAAAATATCCAGGCGACGGACCCAACCATATGCACTTGTGAATACCGTCGTTGCGGGTATCCCCTTCGGGGGATCTCCTCATGGGGCCATGGAGCATGCGAAGGGCGTGCCGACATGGGGCGGGGCCGCCATGTGGGCGCTGCAACGGGGGCTTCAGGTGGAATCCGCTATGGAGCTCCCTATGGGCCACGAAGCGCTGAGTTGAGTGGGAGAGATCTGAGACGCATGCGAACACCGCCACTGTGGCATTCGATGGAGCTCCCCTGGGGCCACGAAGCGCTGTACTGGATGGGGGGGACGCGTGCGCACACCGCCACTGGGGCCTTCGGTGGAGCTCGCCATGGGGCATCGAAGCGCTGTACTGAGTGGGGGAGACGCATGCAAACACCGCCACTGAGGCCTTCGGTGGAGCTCCCTATGGAGCCACAAAGTGCTGCACCGGGTGTGATAGACGTATGCAAACACCGCCACTGGGGCCTTGGGTGGAGCTCACTACGGGGCCACGAGGCGCTGCATTGGGTTGGGCGGGCGCATGCGAACGCAATCACTGGGGCCTTCGGTGGCGTTCCCTCTGTGGCCAACAAGCGCTGTACTAGGTGGGGGAAACGCATGCGAGCACCGCCACTGAGGTCTTCGGTGGAGCTGCCTGTGGGGCCGCGAAGCGCTGTCCTGGGTGGGGGAGACGCATGCACACACCGCCACTGGGGCCTTCGCGTGAGCTCCCTATGATGCCACAAAACGTACGCCGGGTGTGTGAAATGGATGGGGTGGGCGCATGCGAACGCAACCACTGGGGCCGTCGGTGGAATTCCCACTGGGATTGTGAACCGTATGATGGGTGCGCCGGCATGGGAAAGACGGGCGCATGCGACCGTAACCACTGGGACCTTTGGTGGACGTCCCTATGGGGCCGCGAACCGTGTGAAAGGTGTGCCGACATGGAAGCGACGGGCGCATGCGAACGTAACCACTGGGACCTTTGGTGGAACTCCCCATGGGCGCACGATCCGTGCGAGGGGCCTCCCGAAATGCGTGCGGCGGGCGCATGCGAACGCAACCACTGGCGCCTTCGGAACTCCCTGTTGGGCCACTAACCGTGAGGGGTGTGCCGAAATGGGAGCTCCCTATTGGGCCACGAACCTTATGAGCGGTGTGCCGACATGGGTGCGGCGGGAGCATGCGCACGCAACCACTGGGGCCTCTGGTGGAGCTCCCTATGGGGCCGCGAGCCGCGCCCATTTCCGGGCGCATGCGGACGTAACCACTGGGACCTTTGATGGAACCCCCTATGGGGCCACGAGCCGTGTGAGGGGTGTGTCGACATGGGCGCGGCGGGCGCATGCGAACGCAACCACTGAAACCTTCGGTGGGGCTCCCCATGTGGCTACGAACCGTGTGAGCAATGTGCCGAAATGGATGCGGCGGGCGCGTGCGAACGCAACCACTGGAGCCTTCAATGGGGCTCCTTATGGGGCAACGAACCGTGTGAAAAGTGTGCCGAACTGGGTGCGGCGGGCGCATGCGTACGCAACCACTGGCGCCTTCGGTGGAACTCCCTATGGGGCCACGAGCCGTGTGACATGGAAGCGGCGGGCGCATACGAAAGCATTGGGTCCTTTGGTGGAGCTCTGCATGGGGCCACGAGGAGGAGGAGGAGAAGGAACGCGGGGCGCTGTCTCTTCAAAACGAAGACCCAACACCACGCGGAGGGCAGATGCAGGGCTGAGAGGAAGGAATGAGGAAATGAGGAGGAAGGACGGAAGGACGGAAAGAAGGAAAGAATGAATGAATGAAGGAAGGAAGGAGACGCGGGGCGCTGTCTCGTCAAAACGTGGATTCAGCACCGCATGACGGTTGGGAATGGGACGCAACGATCTCAGGGGCGGCTGGACGCAGCTAAGAAATGCCGGCCATGATGCACCAATTCTGAACGGACTCTGGCCCGGGGCGGAGCGAGCCCTGGGATCCTGGCGCCACACTTTTTCGCAACAGGCGAGTCTATGTCATTTGCGCTGTTGCATCTTTTCTTTCACGTCGGGCCTCAGGGAGGGTGAGGAAGTGGGCGGCCTTCTGCGAAACAGTGTGGGCTTCTCAGAAGGCCTCGCAATTTTCCCAGAGGGCTCCAAAGGCCGGGAGGATCCAGGAGGGCTTCTAAGAGCCCCCATGCCTTCTCAGAAGGCCGCCCCCCCGCCCCGCGACTCCCCCTCATCTGTGCGCCGCCGAACTTTCGCAACAAAAAGATCGCTTCTCTTGGATCCAGGTCCCCCAGAAACCGTACGTGCAATTGAATATTCCCTCGTCGCGAGCCGTCGCGTTGAGCATCCAAAACAGCGTTGTCGTCGTGGTCGAGGTGGTCCGCAGCCGTTGGTTGATGCCGCAGTCCACGCCGCCTCCGTAGGGCTTGCAGCACCAGTCTCTCTTGGACACGCTCCAGCTCGCCAAGTAGCCCTCGGTGCAATCGAACGGCGGGTAGAGGAGAGTAATCTTACCACCTGGCTGAACGAACGCATTTGGAGTAGGGACCGACCGTCCTGTCATTCCTATAGGCATCACGCAGTGTTGTTAGAACAACAAAGGCTCTCATACCAGAACCCATAAACAAAAAGCAACGTGGACCCCCCAAAGGGGATCGTTACTGTGGAGGTGCAATCTTTTGTAGTGCTAGCTATGCGGTGTGAGCTATGTGGCGCCCGCTATGTTGAGCAATATGTGTTGTATAAAGGATGTCGTGTGAGTTATGTGGTGTGAGCTATGTGGTGTAAGCCAACATCTCTCAACTATGCTGTATAAGCTATGTGGTGCACGCTGTTGTAGAAGAGCTGTGCGGTGTGCCGTGTAAGCTGCGTGGTGTATGCTATGCTGTGTATCTATGTGTTAGCTGCAGCCTGAGCGTGAGTGTTTTAGCTGGTTTCTTCGTCCAACTCTTGTTCCCCTTCGGGAAGGGGTTACCCCTCGCCCCCCCCCCTCCCCCTGGACCTGGAAAGGGGGAGGGGGGCGCGGGTCGTTGGATGGTCCAACTGGTCCCAACGAGAGGGCACACGCCATTGATTCTATCATGGTTCTGGCCTCAGTTTGGCCTCCTGGGGGACCCTAATTGGATCCCTACTGCTTGTATCGATCACCTCCATGATGGCCCCACTATAGCCCCCGAGGCTACCCAGGGAGACCCAAGACTGCCTCATGAGGAGCCCAGAAGACCCCACGAGACACCCACGACGCCCCCAAGAGATCCCAAGTCCCCCCCTCCCCTAGAGCCTAGAGGCACCCAATACGCCCCAAGAAGCTCCAAGAAGCTCTCGAGACATCCGACGAGACTCCGAAAGGCATACAATAGAGTTGAGAAAGCTGTCTAGTGTGTGCTATGTGGAGAAAACTGTGAAGCGGCAGCGAGGCGGCAACGGTCGGCGGCGTGGAGAACCCAAGTGGGCGTCAACGAGGCGGCCATAGTCGGCAACGCGGAGAAACCTCGGCGAGGAGGGGGAGAAGGAGGAGGGGGAGAAGGAGGAGGAGGGGGGGGGAGGAGGAAGAGGGGAGGGAGGAGGAGGAGGAGGAGGCGGAGGAGGAGGCGGAGCAGGAGGGGGAGGAGGAGGAGGGGGAGAAGGAGGACGAGGACGAGGAGGGGGACCCCCCCACATCGGTGGCAATAAGGCGGCTACGATGTGGCCACGGGCGGCGACGCGGCAAAACCATGCTGGAGCCATCCAAGTCCTTGGTCAACAAACCCTAAGTGCAAGTGCAAGCACTGTTCGGGGACTGTCCTCAGAACATACAACACCTTGGTATGAATAGGATGAATGCCTCAACCAGAAATGTTCTAATCATATCTCGTGCAAACCGTCAACACTTTCCAACACATTATTTGGACATAAAAACAGGCCAAAACGCTTCGCCACTGCTTGAACGATACCGCTACCGCTACTTCCTGGACTTCTTCAGGGGCGCGCCCTGACCAGAATTCCGAGACAAATGCAGCCGAGGCGACGGGGGGGGAGTAACGATGCCCACATGTCTTCTTCATCCTTGTCCTCCCCCTCCTCCGACCACCTGCGCATATGCAACACATGTCCGAAGACGTGAAGTCGGAATCGTCGAACTG